GCCCAGCCCAGGGGCACAAGCCCTGCCCTGCTCCTGCTGCCACACTCTTCCTCAGCCAGCCCAGTTTTCTCTGGCACAACAATTGGAAAGGCTCAGCTCCAGGAGTTTTCCACTGCCACAGGATGGCATAATTAACCCTCATTGTCCTAATAGCTGCATCTATTTCCATGGAATAGGATCATTCCATATTTTGTAGAGCTGAGAGATGAAATTCAGCTCCGTTAGACCAGTAAATGAGTGGATGAAGTGAACTGGGATCAACAGGTTTATTCTGGTGTAAAATGGAGCAGAAGCTACACTTGTGCTCTTGTCTGATTCACCTGCCTCATTCCCAAGGGCCTGGAAGGACAGGACACAGGGAATGGCTTCCCACTGCCACAAGGCAGGGATAGGTGGGATATCGGGAAGGAATTCCTGGCTGGGAGGATGAGGAGGCCCTGGCATAGATTGCCCAGAGAAGCTGTGGCTGCCCCTGGATCCCTGGAAGTGTCCAAGGCTGTGTTGGAGCAACCTGGGAGAGTGGAAGGTGTCCCTGCCCATGGCAGGGGGTGGCACTGGATGGGCTTTAAGGTCCTTTCCAACCCAAACCATTCCATGACTCTATGATTCCCATCAATCTGCCTTTAACTCCGGGAACCGGGAAATATTGTTGGAATGAAAGACCGACGGAGAACAGGAGCCGTTTTTCTCCGGAGAGAGTGAGAGGTTTGACTACAACTGATCATTTCTGTCGAAGGTTCCAAGAAATATTCCTTACCACAGAGCCTGGAGGTGCAGCCTCCATGTCCAAGAGGGCTCTGGGATATTTTTTGGTAGGAGAGTCCAAGAGGTCACTGACAGATGGAGAGCGAGTCACTCCACCGGGGGACAAGAGCTGAGTTCTTGAGCCTGGGGTGGAAAAGACACAAAGATTCACACAGAAAAAGACACCAAAATATTGTGAATTTCCATCCCTGGAAGTGTCCAAGGCCAGGTTGGGCGGGGCTTGGAGCAATCTGGGATAGTGGGAGGTGTCCCTGCCCGTGGCAGGGTTTGGAATGAGATGGGATTTTAGGTCCCTGCATGTCAATCATGTCCTCTGAGCTAATCACAGTCTAACTAATTAGAGGTTTTCACTTTCTAAGAGCTCTCAAAATGTCATGGGGAGTTGGAACAGGGCATCTTCTCACCTGTTATTTCCCTGAATTTCTGGGAACAGAGATCCAAGGACTTGCACCACTGGCATGAAACACCAACCAACTCTGTTTTTAAAACCAAAACTATTTCAAATTGGAAAAAAAAATCTTTAAGCTGGGATGTATCCTGTCTATAAAATGGTTATCTAAATATTAAATTAAGCCATAGGAATGGTCTTATAAATATTGGGACATGGCAGTATGCAGGAATTCCTTCTATCAGGAAGGAATTGCTGGCTGGGAGGGTGGGGAGGCCCTGGCCCAGGTTGCCCAGAGAAGCTGTGGCTGCCCCATCCCTGGAAGTGTTCAAGGACTGGCTGGATGGGGCTTGAAGCAACATGGGATAGCGGAAGGAGTGGGAGGTGTTGGGGTTGGAACTGGATGGTCTTTAAGGTTCCTTCCATCCCAAACCATTCCATGATCTCCCATCTCTCCCAGCTCAGGGGTGTTTGTTCCTCACCTCTAAGAATTGACTCTCAAACTGTTTTTTCCCTCTGGTGACAAATCCAGAGGAACTGGGGCCTCTTTGTTCTCCTGTTTGCACAGAGAGGATTTGATCCCTGGCTCTGCCCAGTGCAGGAGTTCCTTTCCTGCCAGGAGCAGAGATTCCATGGATTTATATTTCTCTCAGTGCCTGAGCAGTGCTGGCACACATGTCAAGACAATAAACATGGTTTTTAGTCATTTTGAGACCCAGCAAAGCCCAAAAGGCTTCAGAGAAGCCTTTCGAGATCTCCTGGGCTTGGACATCTGGAGATCCCAAGAGGGATTTTAAGCAACCTCTGGCCCCTTCTCTCTGTGCTGGGCAGCACCCAAGGGGCAAAGCTTGTTGCCCCATGGCAAAGGGGGTGGCACTGGATGGGCTTTAAGGTCCCTTCCATCCCAAACCACTCCATGATTTTACCAAACCACCGAATTTGAAAGCTGTTAATGCATTATCAGCTCTGAAAGGAATTCTACTTCTGCTGTTAAAAGTTGTTTGTTTTTTTTTAAAGAACTTATCTATTTCCTCCCAGTATTTTTACAGAAGCTCTTGCACAGCAGTTCATTACAAAAAAGAATTAACAACCCATCATAATCTCCCCCAACCAATCTTCCCCCTGCCACCGTCTGACTGAAAATGTCCACATTAAAGACAACCCGGGGGCAAGTTTTTTCAGCATAAATTATTTCCCAGAGTCCATAAGAGCAGGGGATGTCTAGAAATAGGATAGTTAAACTTATTTAAACACCTCTAAATGAAGCTCCAAGTGAATTTAATGGCGTGTAGTAAATTTAAAAGTTACTTTATGGGCAGCAGAATTACCCAGATCTCGGGGTGTTAATGGGGTTTCTGTAACTGGTGACAAGTCAGAGCTGCTGAGGAAGACAAAGTCCCTTAAAAGCACTTCAGATAAATACACATATATTAAAAAACACCAGGGTTATTTAAAAATATTTTCTCTTTAATCCTCCCCCTCCTTTCCTCATGATCCATTTAAGGTTTAGTTGCCTTCGGGCCAAAACATCTGCAGAGTTTTTAAGGCAAGAAAGCACAATATTATTGCAAATAAGGCAAGGGAATCGTTCTCATTTTAAACCAACGTGGAAGTTCTGGAAATGGAAATAAAATCTCCTTAGTTTAAGGTTAAATAAGACTCCTCAGAAAGGTCCTCAGTGCTGGAGCTCTGAGATGCCACCATAACGTGCAGCAGCTTTTTTTCCGTGTCCCCAGGGAAATCAGGATTTATGAATCCTTTCAGGACACAAAAAAAAGGACTCGAAATTAGGAGCTGATAAATTTTACACTCCCCTTCAGTGATATTTCCCTCCTTTCTTTCAGCTGCTTGGATTTGCAGCTTCCTGAGCCACGCCAAGGTCCTGGATGTTGGCTCTGTGTTCCCAAAGGAACCTGATTCACTGCAGTGGGTCTGACCAAGGCAGCCAAAAACCATGGAGACCCTTGGAACAAGAGGAAAGAGGCCCCAAAAATCAGCTTCTTTTCAGTCCATGTTGCACATCATCTTCCTGCCAAAATCTCTGCTCCTTATTTCTTTTTCCTCCGGTGTTTTAGAGCTCATATTCTGCTTTTATCCCAGCTTTGGGAGAAATTGTGTGGGAGAAATTCCAGCTGTGACAAGAGAAGTCTTCCTTTCTTCCTTCCTCCACTCTTCTCTCTCACCTTTCCCTCCTTGAGCCCTCCTTCTGCTGCTGCAGGGGGAGTTTGGTCAAGGAATTGGCCTGTCTGGAAGTTGTTGCTGGGAGTTTTGGGGGATTTTTTATTTGTTTGTTTTCCCTATATTAATATATGAAGGAGGAGTATTAATATATTAATGAGGAGTGCCTGAGAGCACTTGGATTGTTCAGCTGGAGGAGACTGAGGGGAGAATCCTCAGGGTCTGCAGCTCCCTCAGGAGGGGCAGCTCCAATCCCTGATCCCTGTGACAGGGACAGGCCCCAGGGAATGGCTGGAGCTGGGTCAGGGGAGGGTTAGGCTGGATTTTAGGGAAAGGTTCTTCATCCAAAGTGTTGTGAGGGACTGAACAGGTTCCCTAGGGCTGTGGGCACGGCCCCAAGGCTGCCAGAGCTCCAGGAGGGTTTGGACAACGCTCTGTGGGACAGGGTGGGATTGTTGGGGTGTCTGTGCAAGGCCAGGAGCTGGACTGGATCCTTGTGGTCTCTTCCAACTGAGGATATTCTAGGAATTTTTGGATGGAATCATTCCCTGATCCAGATTGCACAATCACAGGGATGAGAGCAAGCACTTGGATTAGCTGGAGGGGATCACAAGGCTTCTTTGAAACCCCCTGCAGATCATTTGGGTTTGTCCTGCAGCCCCAAAAGCACTTGGAGTGAATTTATAAGTTGTCTTCACTCATCTTACCACCCTGGCTTTCATGCTTTTTGGGATTCTTGCTATCCTGGGGAAGAAGGTAAGGGAAGGTCCCAGTGCCAGCCCATTTTCCTGTTGTTCAGCAGCTGGATGGACACAAAGCTCTCCACCACGGACATGGATCTCATTTGGGATGAATGGGAGCTCCTCAGCCCTAGACCATCCTCAGAAGAGTCAGGCAGCTCACTTGCTGCATCTTCTTGCCTCAGGGATGTAAATCCATCAAGGCTTCAGATCCCAGGGAGGGATCAACCCATGGCAGAGGAGCACGAGGAGGTTTCAGGTCTCGCAGGTCACTTCATTCACAGATTTCAATTCTTTTAACAATAAGTAGGAACATTCTGCTGATAAAACCAGGAGGAACATGTTTCCCAGACACGGTACCTGCTCTGCTTCTGGTGTCCTGGATGTCATCAAAGGCTGCAGGGAGCTCCAAGTTCAGGAACATCTTCATGAGGAGACTCAGCTCCGTGAATGCCTCGTTCAAGTCGTCTGCAGAAAGGGAAAGGATGCAAAATATAACCCAACCTTTCATCAGGACAAAGATACAAATCACAGAAGTTTGACACAGAAATACATTCTGAATTTATCCAGCTTTGGGAGAGAAAAAAACCCTTCATCTCCATAAACAGCACATTCAAGAAAACAACCTCAAATTCATCTCAGGTTCTGCACTCACCTAAATATTTTCCTTCTGAAATTAGTGGTTTGGGGTTTTTTTTAATGCCATGTTTAAATTGTAAGCTCTGTGTGCCCTTGACAATAAGTACAAACATCATATTTTGTAGCACAGTGATGTATTTCACCAGCAGTGTGGGGGATCCCAAAAATCACCTCCCCAAAAGGGCAGGCACAGAACGAACTGGAAAAGGATCCTTCTCCGTCACAAAAATCACCTCCAGGGATTAACTTACCCGTGTTGATGACTGCATCAAAGTATCCTGGGGAATCCTGGCTGATTTGGAGGTACATGTCCACTCTGGAAACTGCCTCTTCAATCTCTGGCCTGCTGAACAACCCTGTCCTCCTCAGATGTGTCTCATATTTCTCCTTGTCCGTGGGCACCACCAGGACGTACCTGGGTTTAAAGTAGGTGCACTTCAAGCTCCTCACACCCTTGGAAATTAAGCAGAGAAACACAGTGGTTTGGTCCTGAAACTGTTGAAGTGGGAGCTGAGTTTAGGAGAGCTCTGCATTTATCCCAAATTCCTGGCTGGATAGGTTTTGGTGGCTCCAGGAGCGAAGGGAAAGCGCAGCAAACACGTTTCCCCACACACACACACAGAACCCTTCACTGACTGCAAGTGCAGCCTCAGCAAGATTTAACTTGGCAAATTTGTGTCACTCTCCTTTACCAGCCAGAGATAAACTCGAGCTTAAGGGGAATGAGCAGCTCTAAATTTTCAGTCTCGGCCCACGGACCGTAATTAAAATTTCTTTCAGCGGCGCTCAATCCCTTTGGTTCCGAGATAATGGACTCAGCAGCTTCTCCTCACACCCATAACTCACTGTTATTGTTTCTCAGCTGTGTAGCAGAGCCCAGGGTGATGCAAGGCTCTGCATAATTCCTTGTGTGATCTAGAAACTTCCAGGACAAAGGAATTTTAGAGGGAGTAGCTTTGGCAACACCCAAAGTTACGGTCCCTGGGCGACCCCCCCTCATGAATAAACACAACATTCCATTAAATCCTCCCTCCTAAATCACTTGATAACACATCTCCTCTGTGTTATCAAGTTATCAGCTTTAAAAGGCACCCCATTCCATCAGATTTAATCTCCTATTCTTCTTTCCCTTGGACGTTTGGGCTCTGTCTGGCAAGACAACAGAACCCCCTCCCTGCCTGTCTCAATCAGTGAAAACTGAGGGTGATTCATGGTCCTGTCAAAAACTGAGGGGGGGGGAAAAAAAGAAATGGAAACACCCAGGGATGAAGTTATTTATTTGCTGTTTAACATCAGCCAAGTGACAGGCACTTCGAGCCAGCATTAAATTGTTGATCATTTGAGCAAGGAGCTACTTTGTTTTGTTTTTTCAGCCCTGACAAGGCCGCTGTTCTGGTGTTGGTACATTTATATGCAAAGCAGTGGATGTGCACGGTTTATTTTGGGCCAAAGGGGGCTAAAATTGAACTAAAAACCAGTTTTCCATCATCCCTTTCTCCAACAAAACTATCACCCTGCAATTAATGAAATTTAATATCATTTTATTGCTCAAGTTGGGGATGCTCAGCTTAGGATCCCATGTTAGCACTGCAGTCTCCTATATCTTTTTTTTTCTTTAAATCTCTATTATTTTTCCAGTCTCACATTCCAGGCCCTCAGGAAGGAGTCTCTCCTTCTGGAATCTCAAACAAGTCTCTCATTTTTGGGATCTCAAAGAGATGGAGCTTAAATTTGTGGAAAGGACTTTACATTTATATGCACAGCAGTGGATGTGCAGGGGTTTATTTGAGCCAAAGAGGGTTAAACCACTGAGGGATTGAACTAAAAACTAGTTTTCCATCATCCCTTTCACCAATAAAATTATCACCCTGCAATTAATGAAATTTAATATCATTTTTTTGCTCAAGTTGGGGATGCTCAGCTTAGGATCCCATGTTAGCACTGCAGTCTCCTATATCTTTTTTTTTCTTTAAATCTCTATTATATTTTCCAGTCTCACATTCCAGGCCCTCAGGAATGAGTCTCTCCTTCTGGAATCTCAAACAAGTCTCTCATTTTTGGGATCTCAAAGAGATGGAGCTTAAATTTGTGGAAAGAACTTCATATTTATATGCAAAGCAGTGGATGTGCAGGTGTTGATTTGGGCCAAATGGGGCTAAAACACTGAGAGTTTGAACTAAAAACTAGTTTTCAATCATTGCTTTCACCAACAAAATTATCACCCTGCAATTAATGAAATTTAATATAATTTTTTTGCTCAAGTCTCCCCCTAGTTGGGGATGCTCAGCTTAACATCCTGTGTTAGCACTGCAGTCTCCTACAGCTCTTTTTTTTTTTAAATCTCTATTATTTTTTTCCAGTCTCACATTCCAGGCCCTCAGGAATGAGTCTCTCCTTCTGGAATCTCAAACAAGTCTCTCATTTTTGGGCTCTCAAAGAGATGGAGCTTAAATCAGTGGAAAGGACTTCACATTCATATGCAAAGCAGTGGATGTGCAGGGGTTGATTTGGGCCAAATGGGGCTAAAACACTGAGAGATTGAACTAAAAACTAGTTTTCAATCATTGCTTTCACCAATAAAATTATCACCCTGCAATTAATGAAATTTAATATCATTTTTTTGCTCAAGTCTCCCCCTAGTTGGGGATGCTCAGCTTAGGATCCTGTGTCAGCACTGCAGTCTCCTACAGCTCTTTTTTTTTTTAAATCTCTATTATTTTTTCCAGTCTCACATTCCAGGCCCTCAGGAATGAGACTCTCCTTCTGGAATCTCAAACAGTCACTCATTTTGGGATCTCAAATAGTCTCTCATTTTTGGGATCTCAAAGAGATGGAGCTTAAATTTGTGGAAAGAACTCAGAAGGCGACGCCTTTCCTTTTAAGTCACCTCAACCCTCAGCTAGTAAATGTTGATCTAAGATAATTGGAAATACTTAATTAGAAAATTAGCTTAAAACTCCTGCTTTTGGGACTCCCAGAGAGAGGTTTTGACGCTTTGTGACCCAGTTTCTTCCCCCCAGCAGGACTTCTGAGATGCTGCCACCTGTGCACGAGCACCTGACAAACCTCAGGGAGGGGAAAAACCTCCAAGAAATCAGGTTTTTTGACAGTTCTGCCCAAATTTTTGCCTCGGGCCTGAAGTTCTGAGGCTTCAGCAGGGGAGATGATTTTCTTCTGGGGGGGATTTGTAGCTGTGCAGCTCTGGAATGAGGGGTGGGAGGGGTGGAAAGCTGAGGATGCTGGGCTGGGAAGGGCTGGGGATGGGAGGAGATGGCAGGGGGAGATGGGGCTGCTGAGGATGGAAAAAAACAGGCCAGAAATTTAAAGGAGAGCAGAAAAATCCATGGAATGACTAAGGTTGGAAAAGACCTCCAAGATCATGAAGTCCAGCCTGCCAAGGCCACCATTAAACCACGTCCCCAGGTGCCACATCCACGTGGATTTTAAATCCCTCCAGGGGGATTTAACGCTCCACCACCCTTTCCACGAGGAAATTTTTCCCTAATATCCCACCTAAACCTCCCCTGGCACGACCTGAGGCCGTTTCCTCTCGTCCTGGCCCTCGTTCCCTGGGAGAAGACGCCGATCCCATAAAAATGGTGAGACCTGAGGTCAATTCCTACCTCGATTTCCAAGTGAACGCAGGTCCCGAGCCCCTCCCTGGCAATGGATTCCAAAGGGTCTCTTCCCAATCCATAGCGGTGGCCACTGTATTTGTAGGTTGCTAGAAACCTCCCCTGGAATTCAAACCAGCCAAGGATAATGCCAAGGGAAATATTTCAAGGGGAACAACTTCCTTAAATGAGAATAATCCCTCTGGGCTTTGCTTTGTCTCCCTACAAAGTTTCTTGGTGTTTAAAATCACCAAGAACGAGGCCAAGGAGAGCCCAAAAATTTGCAGGGATGTGGGTTTGCACCTTGGCCATGGATAATAAAACACCAGGATCCTGCTGATGGATCCCAGAATTCATGGGATATTCATGGATGCTGCAAAGAAAGCAAGATCCTTTTTTTTTTTTTATATTCCTTTTTTTTGATATTCCATCAAACCGCAGGAAATAAAAGATTCCAAAGAAAAAGAAGGACTGGAATTGGCCAGGACACTTCCAAGGTAAAAACCTCACAACTCTGGTTGTCTGGATGGCTGGAGAGATCTATAATTATTTGCTTTTAAAATTAAACTCCTTGATTATTGTTATTAAGGATCAGAGCAGTTGTTTAAGGCTCTGTTGTCTCCCTTGTTGTGGCTTTTCAAGCCCAAGTTTTATAGCAAAAAAAAAAAAAAAGCATCAGAAAAGAGTAGCTGGAGGCACAAAACCTGCAGGAAAAACAAAACAAAATAAAACAAAAAACATTCCTTCAGGGGGAATTTGTTAAACTTGCAAAGAACTCCCTGCAGGGTGGCTGGGAAATGTTGGAAAAAATAAAATAAAATAAAACAAAATAAAATAAAATAAATAAAAACCACAGCATGTATTTGCATCTGGAATGCAACACACAGACCCAAGCTTCAGATAAAAAATAAAATAAATCAGCCCTGGACAACTCTGGGAGAGGAAAATGAGCTCCAAGGATATGAGGCAGGTACTTACTGTATCCACCATTTCCTTAAATGCTTCTTGAGAGATGAAATAATAATCCAGCCTGTTTTCTTCCCCAAAATAAGGTCTCCTGGTGGTGTGACAGGGACTGGAAAATATATGGGATAATAAAGAAATAACCTGTTTTCCATCACAGAAGGAGCTGCGGAACATGGGAAAGGGGTGGGGGAAGGAGGATCCCATAATTCATTTTATTTGTAAGAGGCCAAGAAATATGAGAAATAGAGGTGCAAATCAACCCACTAATCCTGCATGTTTGAAGGGTTAACCCATAAATACAAAAATAAACACAAAAAAAGGAAAAAGTTTAAATATAAAATTATATTTGGGTTATAAATTCCTCCCCCCCCCAGCCCAGCAAGGTCTGAACTGGAGCTGTCACAGGAACCCTGGGAACAGAGAAATGATAAATCCAATTTTTTTCCCCAGCTCTGGGGGGGTTTTGGGATGATATGAAAGACAAATCCTAAATATAGAAAAGCAGAGCAGGAGCTGGGCTGAACTGGGAGGTTAAAACCCCAAATATAAAGCCCAATTTTTAGGCAGATCCCCTAAGAGTAAGGGGAGAAACAATCCTGAAATCAGGGGGGATTAAGTGGGAAATAATTACCCACAGGATAAAGCTCAGCTCCACGAGCTTCCTACCAGGATGGACCACTAAAAAAACCACCCAAACCCCCCCCCCAAAATCAGCCAAGTGAATGCAGGGAGCAATTTTAGACTCAGGTGTTCAGTGGCTCGGTCAGAAATGATCTTTTAGGTCACTTCTCTTTGGCAATGATATTTTACTCCTTCAAGAAACCATCAAGAAATTCAGTGTACAAGGCAGAGCTTGACAGATCTTTGCTGTGACAGAGTTAGAAAATGCCACTTTTTTTCTTTTTTTTTTTTCCTTTTTTTTCTTTTTTTTTCTTTTTTTTCAATCAGGGAGTTCCACACAGGACTCTGGAAAATTCCCCTTTCCAAAGGCCTGATTTTCCCCTAAGATAACGTGAACACATCCAGCTTTAAAGGTCACTGCTGAGCACCAGCCAGATGGTTCGAGGGGCCAATTTCTTTTTTTTTTAAAACCTTTTTTTTTCATTTCAACCCTTTTTTTTTTTTTTTTTTTTAATTTTATTTTTTTTTTTATTTCCCCCCTCGTGCATGAAAGTTTGAGGAAATAAAACACAGACAAGCATAAAAAGAATGCTTTTAAAAAACACACACACAAACACTTGGAAAATGTCAATTGGCATCCGATTCATTTGGAATTTCCAGCAGGAAAAAAACACAGGAGTTGCTTTAAAGAAAGGCAAAAAAAAAAAAAAAAAGATAGTTTTACAGTCACACAACCTCTTTCCTTAAGAAGGCTGGTTAAAAATGAATGGATAAATTAGGGCAATAAAAAGAAATTGGGAATATATGGAAGAGAGACAATATCCTGGGAACAGAGAGCAGGGAGTGCTACAGGACCTAGGAAAAGTCAGGAACTGGGAAGGATGGAATGAGTGGACAAGAGGAACATCTTGCACTGCCTCATTTGAGGCCTCAAATTATCAAAATCATCAATTTTTCAGTTTTAGGCATCCAGGCTGGAATTCCCTCGGAAAAGGAGAAGTTTCCAGGGAGCCCAAGGCTCATAATTGTGCTGGGTGAGGAACTGGCTGGAGAGCTGGGCCCAGAGAGTGGTGGGGATGGAGCTGCATCCAGCTGGGATCCGTCCCCAGGGGTGTCCCCAGGGATCAGTGCTGGGCCCAGTCCTGTTTAATGTCTTTACTGATGATTTAGATGAGGGGATTGAGTCCATCATCAGTAAATTTGCAGGTGACACCAAGCTGGGAGGGAGTGTCGGTCAGCTGGAAGGCAGGAGGGCTCTGCAGAGGGACCTGGAGAGGTTGGAGAGTTGGGCTGATTCCAATGGGATGAGGTTCCCCAAGGCCAAGGGCCGGGTCCTGCCCTTTGGCCACCAGAAGCCCCTGCAGCTGCAGGCTGGGCCAGAGGGGCTGGAGAGCAGCCAGGCAGGAAGGGAGCTGGGAGTGGGGATGGACAGGGAGCTGAAGAGGAGCCCGAGTGTGGCCAGGGGGGCAAGAAGGCTCAATGGATCCTGGCCTGGCTCAGGAACAGTGTGGCCAACAGGTCCAGGGAAGTGATTCTGCCCCTGGGCTGGGCGCTGGGGAGGCCACCCCTGGAGTGCTGTGTCCAGCTCTGGGCCCTGAGCTCAGGAAGGCCCTGGAGGGGCT